GAGAAAGAGCTCATGGTAGTTTTGATATGACTAATGATATTATGTATCTTTTCATGTAGTTATTGGACATTTGAATACATTATTTGGAGAGATGTCCATTTAAGACCTTTGTAGCCAGGCACAGGGGCTCTTGCCTGTAATCCCAGCACTTTCGGAGGTTGAGACAAGAGGATAGTTGCCTATGCTTTTTTCCCAGTTGTTTTTTTGTTATGGTAAAATACACATAACATAAAACTTACCGCTGTAACCATTTTAAGTGGCCAGTTCAACAGTATTAAATACATTCATAATGTCGTATAGCTATCACCACCATCCATCTCCAGAACTCTTCATCGTGTTGCGTGTGCTTTTGATGTTATATTCAAGATATTATTGCCAAATCTAAGGTCATGCAGATTTTCCCATATGTTTTCTTCTAAGAGTTTTTTTTTTTTTTTTTAATTATTATTACTTTTTTAAAGACAGGGTCTCACTCTATTGCCTAGGCTGGAGTACAGTGGCTCAATCATAGCTCACTGCAGCCTGGAACTCCTAGGCTCAAGGGATCCTCCCATGTTAGCCTTCTTAGTAGCTGGGATTACAGGTGCACACCACTATACCCAGCTAAGTTTTAAATTTTTTTGTAGAGATGGAGTCTCACTACGTTGCCAGGCTGGAGTACAGTGGCTATTCACAGGCATGATTATAGTGTACTACATCCTTGAACTCCTGGGTTCAAGTAATCCTCTTACCTCAGTTCCTGAGTAGCTGGGACTACTGGTATGTATTACTGTGCCCAGCTTATAGTGTATTCATTTTAAATTACACAGTAGAATTACACAGTAGTGGTTCTTTTTTTTTCTTTTCTTCCCACCTCAGCCTCCCAAGTAGCTGGGACTACAGGTGCAAGCCACCAAGTCCAGCTAATTTTTGCATTTTTTGTAGAGATAGGGTTTTGCCATTTTGCCCAGAATGGTCTCGAACTCCTGAGCTCAAGTGATCTCCCCATGTTTGCCTCCCAAAGTGCAGGGATTACAGGCATAACCCACCACACTTGGTCCAGTAGTGGTTCTTAAAATAAAATTAGAACATTACAGATATATTAAGGTTCCTTTTGTCTACTCCCAATTTTGTACCTCTAGCTCCCTTTTCAAAAGTATCCTCTGGCCGGGCCTGGTTGCTCACTTTGGGAGGCCGAGGCAGGCAGATTACCTGAGGTCAGGAGTTTAAGACCAGCTTGGCCAACATGGTGAAACTAAAAATACAAAAAATTAGCCAGGTGCAGTGGTGTGCGCCCGTAATCCCGGCTACTCAGGAGGCTGAGGCAGGAGAATCGCTTGAACCCGGGAGGCAGATCATGCCACTGCACTCCAGCCTGGGTGACAGAATGAGATTTCGTCTCAAAAAAAAAAAAAAGTATCCTCTATTATGTGTTTATTACATATCCCTGTATCTTCCTAGGCCTATGGAAATACTTTTAGATATATTTACTACCTTCAAAAACATATGGTATTATTTGCATAAGAATATGTGTTTATGCAAATGGAATCATAATGAGCATATCATTCATTCTACTTTACTCTGTGCTAGGCATTGTTCTAACTTTGACGATACAGCAATACACCAAATAAAGTTTCTATTCTCATGGACATTACATTATCCTGCCACTTGTTTCTTAAAATTCATATCATGTATTGAGACCTATGCATGATGATACATGTAGATCTGTTTCATTTCTTTTTTCTGAGACAAGGTCTCGCTCTGTCACCCAGTTTAAAGTGCAGTGGTGCGATCATAGCTCACTGCAACCTGGAACTCCTGGGCTCAACAGGTCTTCCTGCCTTGGCCTCTCGCGTAGCTGGGATTACAGACACACACCACCACATGTGGCTAATTGTTTGTTCATTTATTTAATTTTTTTCTGGCCACACGGCATCTGTATAATTTTTTATAATTTTTTTTTTTTTTGAGACTTTGAGATGGAGTCTCGCTTTGTCGCCCAGGCTGGAGTGCAGTGGCACGATCTCGGCTCACTGCAAGCTCCGTCTCCCGGGTTCAGGCCATTCTCCTGCCTCAGCCTCCAAGTAGCTGGGACTACAGGCACGCACCACCACGCCCAGCTAATTTTTTGTATTTTTAGTAGAGACGGGGTTTCACCGTGTTAGCCAGGATGGTCTCGATCTCCTGACCTCGTGATCCGCCCACCTCGGCCTCCCAAAGTGCTGGGATTACAGGCGTGAGCCACCGCGCCTGGCCTCATTTTTTATTTTTTAATTTAATTTTATTTTTTGAGACAGAGTCTCGCTCTGTTGCCCAGGCTGGAGTTCAAGCAATTCTCCTGCCTCAGCCTCTCAAGTAGCTGGGACTTACTGGCATGTGCCACCATGCCCGGCTGATTTTTGTATTTTTAGTAGAGACGGGGTTTCACCATGTTGACCAGGCTGGTCTCGAACTCCTGACCTCAGGTGATCCACCCGCTTCGGCCTCCCAAAGTGCTAGGATTACAGGTGTGAGTCACCATGCCAGACCTATTTTTATTTTTAATAGAGACAAAGTCTCAATGTGTTGCCAAGGCTGATCTTGAACTCCTGGGCTCAAGTGATCCACCCACGTCAGCCTCCCAAAGAAGTTTCATTTCTTTTCTTTTTTCATTTAATTGTTGTATGTTATTCTATGAATATACTATACTATGTAATACATCATTCTCTTATGATGGACATTTAGTTTTATATCAGTTAGGATGTTTTCTACTTCAGGTAACAGAAAAACATGACTCATAATGGTGTAAATATTAAGGAAACTAATTATCTCACATCATAGAAAACCCAGAAGTTGAATGGTTGCCAGGTATATATGCTTAGGGTCCTAACTGTGCTATTTTCTGCTTTTTTGTTTTCCTCTCTTCTAAGCTCTGAAATAATTGTATGTTGTTATATAACAAATTACCCCAAAACTTAGTGGCTTAAAACATAGGCCAGGTGCAGTGGCTTATGCCTGTAATTCCAGCACTTTGGGAGACTGAGGCGGAAGGATCACTTGTGCCCAGGAGTTTGAGACCAGCCTGGGCACATAGTGAGACTCCATCTTCACAAAAAACAACAAAAAAATAGCTAGCCATGGTGGCATACACCTGTAGTCCCAGCTACTTGGGAAGCTGAGGTGGGAGGACAGCTTGAGCTCAGGAGTTTGAAGCTGCAGTGAGCCGTGATGACACCACAGAACTCCAGTATGGGCGATAGAGTGAGACCTTTTTTTTAAAAAAAAAAAAAAAAAACAACAACCAAAAAACCATAAACATAGTTTTCATAGGTCATGAGTTGGGACACAGCTTAGACAGGTCTTTGGCTTAAGGTCTCTCCCAAGATGTGATCAAGCTGTTGCCCTGTGAGTCTTTCCATATGGCTATTTCTCACAGCACAGCATTTGGCCTGAGTGAGCAAATGAAGAACTTGAGATAGTACCCAAGAAGGAAGCCACAGAGTTTCTATAACCCAATCTTGGAAAAGACGTGCCATCATTTCTGCCTTATTCTATTGTTTAGAAGTGAGTTATTAAGCATAGCCCACCCTCAAGAAGGGAGATTACACAAGAGTGTGGTTGCCAGCCCGTGGGATCATTAAGGGCCATCTTACAGGCTGCCTATGATAGGCTGTCTGTCCTCAGGTTTGCAGAATGGCTGCCAACAACAATGCATTAATAGTCTTCCCTGAAGTAAGATGCCCTAAAGGGATCTTTTTGGCCCTGCACTGAAACCTTTTCTGATCTCCCCACTCCTCAATCAATTTAATCAACATTTATTGAGTATTTGCTTTAGGACAGGCCCATTGCTACTTGTGAGGATTACATGGATCATGTCTTCACAGAGCTCACAAGTCTTATTGAAGAGATATAGACTCATACAGCAAAGAATTGTAGTATATTGTGGGAGATCGAATGTCCCAGAAGCTGAGGAAGGATGCAGGAGAAAAGAACTGAGGTTAGAGGAAGCAGTGGAAGAAATGGTTCAGGAGGGTTTTGGAGGATCAGTTGGAGGTAGGTGGCATGGGGGAGATAGGGCAAAGGCATTCCAGAATGTAAATGTTACAGAAAAGTACTAAGAATAATGCACCTGTAGTTCCACGTTCGATTACCCCACCGTTAACATTTTCGTATGTTTATTTTTAGGTCTTTTTTTTTTTTTTTGAGACAGAGTCTCACTCTGTCACCCAGGCTGGGATGCAGTGGCTTGATCTGGGCTCACTGCATCTTCCGCCTCCCGGATTCAAGCGATTCTCTTGCCTCAGCATCCCAAGTAGCTGTTATTACAGGCGTGCGCCACCACGCCTGGCTAATTTTTGTATTTTAGTACAGAAGGGGTTTCCCTATGTTGACCAGGCTTGTCTCGAACTCCCGACCTCAGGTGATCCTCCCGCCTCGGTCTCCCAAAACGCTGGGATTACAGGCGTGAGCCATCGCACTCGGCATTTCCACATTTTTCTAGATGTGAAATAGCTGGGTCATAAAATGGACATTTTAAATTTCACCACACGGAATTGTCCTCAAAAGTGGCCGTTCTATACATTTTACGCCACAGCTATCTGAGTTTGTTGTTACTCCTGGCTTTCCCTCAAACCGCAAGCAACTGAGATCGCGCCAGGCGTGAGCCGGGTCCAGGGCGGCCAGCGCCTCCCGCGCAGTTGGTACGTCCCGGGTGGCTCCCCCGCGGCGGGGGTTGGTTCAGTCTCCGCGCGCCGCGCCTGCGCCCGCCCCGAGAGCACGTCTCTGGCATCGGACGCGCGCCCCCCTCCCCCTCCCCCCGCGCTCCCAACGTGTTGCGGCTCGCGACCCCCGGCAACCCGGGGAAGGTCGGCGGAGCGGCCCGCGCCAGCGAGTGAGTACCTGCCGACTGTGCACAGCTCCGCCCGCCCCTCCCTGCCTCCTTCTCTTCCTCAGCGGGTCCGCGGCCCACTCCTCTCCGGGAGAGGCGCCTTCCGACGCCGAGGTAGGCCTCTCCCGACGGCGGGGCGGCCCTTCCTGATGCCTGGGTGGGTCCTTCGCGACGCGGGGGTGGGCTCCGGACGCCGGGGCGGGCCTTGCCGAAGTCGGAGGTGGGTCCCTCCGGACGCCGAAGTGGGCTCGGGATGCGGGGTTGGGACCCTCCCGATTCCAGGGCGGATTCCGGACGCCGGGACGGGCCATTCCTGGTGCTGGGTTGGGCTTCTCCAGATGCTCGGGCTGGGTCCCTCCCGACGCTCGGGTGGGCTCGGGACACGGTGAGTCCCTCCGGACGTTGAGGTGGGCTCGGGACGCGAGTTGGGTTTCTCCTGACGCCACGCAGGGCCCCTCGGAACGCCAGGTTGGGCTTTGCACCCTCGGTTGCCGGGCGGGTCCCTTTCACACCTGGGGGGCGGCCTGCATCCTCCGGGGCGTCGGGCGAGCGCCGAGCTCCCTCGGCCGTGGTCCGCGCCGCCTCACGCTTCGGGGCGCCCGGCCTGCGCTCCTTCCCGCGCTGGGTTACTATTTTGTTGTGTGATCCTCGTTTTCTCTAATTATTTGCCCCGAAAAAACCCCCAACGCTCTCTTTGGAGATCCTTATCGTCCTAGACGCTTTCGCCCCCGCAGGGCCGGCGCGTTTCCAGGTGCTCTCAGGCAGCTCCGCAGACTTCTCAGCGCCGCAGCAGGCGGGCTGGTGCCCTGCCGCTCCGTTAACCGGGCGCGCGTCCTGGGCAGTAGTGGAGCTGGATTTGAATCCCGGGAGCCGGACTCCAGTGTTCTTTCATTTGATCACTACATCGCACTGACGTATAGAAAAGACACCCGGAGAAAGTGAAAAGTTTATGCTTCTGTCTTTATTGTTTTCCTATCAAGGGAGGAAGTGCCTTGTAGTCAAATGAAAGTCTGTTTTTGGAATCAGATAGATTGAGCTTCAATTCTTAGCCCTTTACCAATTTATCAGCTGTTTGCATAAGTTTCCTCACGTGGAAAATCGTGATGTGAATATCTACTACGTAGAGTTGTTGTGAAACTAGATACTAAAGTCGTGTTCGGATTGTATTGTTATACACTTGTCCTAAACTGAGGCTGTATATAAACTGAAAAATGGAAAATAAAGTATCAGGGATGTATGCGTGTGTATGCATTTACCTTTTTACAAAAATTACAGAAATAAGTTCATCGTATTTAGTTATTAAAGCGCTTGGCTGCCGGGCGTGGTGGCTCACTCCTATAATCCCAGCACTTTGAGAGGCCGAGGCAGAAAAATCACTTGAGTCCAGGAGCATCAAGACCGGCCTGGGTAACATAGGAGACTCTGTCTCTACAAAAAGTAAAAAAAATTATCAGAGTATGGTGGCGCCTGCCTGTAGTCCCAGCTACTCAGGTGGCTGAGGCAGGAGGCTCCCGTGAGCCCAGGAGGTGGAGGCTGCAGTGAGCTATGATCGTGACACTGCCCTTCAGCATGGGCAAGAGTGAGACCCTGTCTCTTAAAACCCTCAAAATAAAAAAAATTAGCTGGGTGTGGTGGCACGTGCCTGTGGTTCCCAGCTTCTCGGGAAACTGAGGTGGGACGGTTGCTTGACCTTTGGAGGTCAAGGCCGATTGCCCTACTGCACTCCAGCCTGGGTGACAGAGCAGGACCTTGTCTCCAAATAAAGAAAGTGCTAGGTACCTATTTAGGGCTAAGAGTCAATCATTTATAAAGGATTGTTCTTAAGGTCCCTATGCCCCCAAGCTTTCAAAGCAATTTTGACAAGTTTGGTACCTGGACTGTCAAGATTTTAAATTACCTTGTCAGTAATTTTTCTTCAGATAGATCAAGACGATGGATGTGCTGAAAGAAAATGACAAATAATATCTGAAATTGAGAATTTTCAAGGACACTTCCCAAAATGTTACCTGTGAAATAAGTCTCATTACTGGGGCACCTGTCCTGCTTCTGCATCTTTCTGGAGACATTTTGTTCCTTAATGTCATGATTAAGAAGCTGCATCCAGACTTGATTCCTCCTTCATAGGCAGTCAGTGGTAATTCATTTTAGCTTCAGTTCAATAAGTGAAGATAGACCATTATTTTAGTGAGTTCTTCATCTTGAAGGGTAGTAACTTAAAAAATAGTAGTTGAACGGTATGCTGGCTTGCTTGTTTAAATGAACTCATCAGGGACCTCTCTTATTTACGTTTTTAGAATTACTGTGGAAAACAGTAATTTACTGTGGCTAAATCTCATGAAGCGCTGGAAATTTTGGAATTTGTGTCTGTGGGGAGCCTTTACTTAATGCTTCTTATTGATCCTTCATCTGCTGTGATTCTTTGAATACCCACCTTGAGCCTGCAGTGGTTCTATGCTAGGTTTTTATTTATTTACATGCCTTTTAGAAATTACATATATTTTGCGGTGTAGCTTCCCTTGCTATCAAATTTGAGCATATTGATTTAAATATATGGTACATGTAATCCCAGCACTTTGGGAGGCTGAGATGGGCAATTTCTTGCACCCAGGAGGTCAAGACCAGCTTGGGTAACATGGTGAAACCCAGCCTCTACAGAAAATACAAAAAATTAGCTGGGCTTGTTGGCACATGGCTCTGGTGGGAGAATTGCCTGATCCTGGGAAGTTGAGGCTGCGGTGAGCTATGATCATGCCATTGCACTCCATGACAGAGTGAGGCCTTGTCTCAAAAACAATACACATGCACACACATGGTACAGGAAACAATTAACTTTGTGCTCCTTATTCACTCAGCAAATATTTATAGGTGCATATCCTGTATCAAGCAGCAGTTTTAGTTAGAGGAGATACAAGTCATGGAAATTGGAGTCCAGTTTTCATGTCAGGAGACAAAAGTGCAAGTACCTGCTGTGTTTGGTCAAGTTACTTTTCTGAACCTGTGTTTCCTCATAATGATATATTCGGGTTTCTTAGGATTGATTGAAATATTCACTCATCAAATATTTATTAGTACTATTATTTTTTTTTGAGACGGAGTCTCACTGTCCTGAGCTGGAGTGCAGTGGTGCGATCTCGGCTCACTGCAAGCTCTGCCTCCTGGGTTCACACCATTCTCCTGCCTCAGCCTCCCAAGTAGCTGGGACTACAGGTGCGTGCCACCAAGCCAGGCTGATTCTTTGTGTTTTTAGTAGAGATGGGGTTTCACCGTGTTAGCCAGGATGGTTTCGATCTCCTGACCTCGTGATCCACCCACCTCGGCCTCCCAAAGTGCTGAGATTACAGGTGTGAGCCACTGCACCCAGCCATGTTTATTATTTTTAAAAACTTTGTATTAAGGTATCATTTATATACAGTAGAGTGAACCAATCTTAATTGTACAGTTCAGTGTGTACACTCATGTAAGTACGTACGCCAAGGTATGGAACATTTTCAGAAGGCTCTCTTGTGTCTTTCCCAGTCACTACCCTCAAGAGGTAACCAGAGGTTAATTGTTTTATTTTTTATTTTTATTTTTTTTGGGAAAGAGTCTCACTGTCACCAGTCTGGAGTCCAGTGGTGCAATCGTAGTTCACCACAACCTCAAACTCCTGGGCTCAAGATCCCTTCTCCTCAGCCTCCTGAGTAGCTAGGACTACAGGCGCACGCCACTATGCCTAGCTAATTTAAAAATTTTTTTGTGGAGTTGTTTTTTTTTTTTTTTTTTTTTTTTGAGACAGTCTCACTGTTGCCCAGGCTGGAATGCAGTGGTGCGATCTCGGCTCACTGCAGCCTCTCGCTTCTGGGTTCAAGCCTTTCTCGTGTCTCAGCTTTCCAAGTAGTTGGGATTACAGGTATGTGCCACCATGTCTGGCTGATTTTGTTTTTTTGGGCGGAGTCTCGCCCAGGCTGGAGTGCAGTGGCGTAATCTCAGCTCACTGCAAGCTCCACCTCCTGGGTTGATGCCATTCTCCTGCCTTAGCCTCCCAAGTAGCTGGGACTACCTTGCCTCGCTAATTTTTTTGTTTTTTTTTTAGTAGAGATGGTTTTCACCGTGTTAGCCAGGATGGTCTCGATCTCCTGACCATATGATCCGCCTGCCTCAGCCTCCCAAAGTGCTGGGATTACAGGCGTGAGCCACGGCACCCTGCCCTCACTTTATTCTTTGTCAAGATTGTTTAAGCTGTTCTGGGGCCCATGCATTTCCATATACATTTAGAATAAGCTTGTCTGTGTCTATAAAAAGTCTTAGTGGAATTTTTATAGGAATTGCATTAAACCTAAGATAATGTTCTGTGCTCCCAAAGGTTGAATTAAAAAAAAAACATCTAGGATCAGTTTGGGGAGAATTGATGCGTTTACTATGTTGAGACTTCCAACCTGTGGGATGGTATGTCTCTAGTTATTTAGTTCTTTGATTTCTTTCACTAGTTATTCAAAAAATAAAACCCCATAAAACAACTTATGTATAAATCTATCCACACACCTGCAGTGAACTCATTTTCCACAAAGTTGCCAAGAACATACGCTGGGGAAAAGACAATCTCTTCAATAGATAGTGCTTAGAAAACTGGATATCTACATGCAGAAGAATGAAACTAGGCCTCCATCTCTTGCCATATACAAAAATCAAATAAAAATGTATTAAATGTTGGCCGGGCGCGGTGGCTCAAGCCTGTAATCCCAGCACTTTGGGAGGCCGAGACGGGCGGATCACGAGGTCAGGAGATCGAGAGAAACCCCGTCTCTACTAAAAACACAAAAAATTAGCCGGGCGCGGTGGCGGGCGCCTGTAGTCCCAGCTACTCGGGAGGCTGAGGCAGGAGAATGGCGGGAACCTGGGAGGCGGAGCTTGCAGTGAGCTGAGATCCGGCCACTGTACTCCAGCCTGGGCCACAGAGCGAGACTCCGTCTAAAAAAAAAAAAAAAAAAAAAAAAAAAAAAATGTATTAAATGTATTAAATCTGAGACCTCAAACTATGAAATTAGTGCAAGAAAACTTTGGGGAAACTCTCTAGGACATTGGTCTGGGCAAAAACTTCTTGAGTAATATCCCATAACCACAGGCAACCAAAGCAAAAATGGACAAATGGGATCACATGACGTTAAAAAGCTTCTGCACAGCAAAGGAAACAAAGTGAAGAGATAACCCACAGAATAGGAGAAAATATTTGCAAACTACCCATCTGACAAAGGATTAATAACCAGAATATATAAGGAACTGAACTCTATAGGAAAAAAAATCTAATAATCCAATTTTAAAAATGGGCAAAAGATTTGAATAGACATTACTTCAAAGAAGACATGCAGGCCGGGCACGGTAGCTCATGCCTGTAATCCCAGCACTTTG